AAAATACAAGTAGCGGCACGTTTTCTGTCCTGCAGGTGTTGGGGGGAGACTAATGCCATTAATTTTGTCCTGGCACACACCGTAACTATCAGTTTGCTGCAGGCTGTGGTTTACAAGGAGATAAATTGTCCAGCAATGCATCTCTATCTATTACCAATTTCACATTGCGCTTTATAGGTTTCAAGTGACAATTTGCAAACTGATTCAAGATATCCTCCTCAAGCTTTCATTTGATAAGGTAGTGCATAGCACAGTGACTCGTACGAAAAAAATATAGAAATCAAACTCTAAACTCGGTATTCTGGCTATATTTACATACTGAAAGGTGAAATCTGATTATTTCCTTTGGGTACCTGTGCATTTGGTTCTCATGTTTGGGAGACTCATTTTTTTTCTATGGCAAGTTTGGGAGAGAGGTAAAGCTGACTAGATGGTAAAACAAAACATCATAATTTTTCCTTTGAGCTGCTGCTGTGGCTAAATTCACCATTGCAAGGCTTTATATATAAAATATATAAAGGAACTATTAGCATAGTTCCATTTTTTATTTTCAATACCACTAGAAAAATGGATGGGCCAGTCTGATTGGTTAGGCAATTGATTTATGAACAAGATCCACATATGCAGACCAGTGTTACTACAAAAGCCCTAAACTTGCACTTTTACTTATATTGTGCATTGAAAACAGTGTTGAAGTTTGAAATGGGAAATTTTGCACCTGAAAAACAAATTTCCGCATATTGGTTTTATTATTCATTGCTGTGTTTTATATCTGCAGCCAATAACTGTTCTGTATTTCAGTGTCACTGACTGTATGTCATAGATCCATATGTAACACTGAAATTCTGTGTCTGTGGAGTCTTGAAATTCATTCTTCTCGTGCCGGTTTTGTGTCGCTTTGATAAATGCATTTTAATTTTGAAATGATTTATATTTCAATTCCACAGCAAACCGGAAAAAAGGAGAAATAAAAAATTCTTGATTTTTAATGCATACAAAAATATGAAATAAGATCAGAAACGTTTAAAGTTCCTGTCATGTGCAATCATAAAAAAGCTAATAAAAAAAATGTATTATTGGTTATATTGAAAAAGACTATTAGAACATCTACAGACCTTTCCTGGCTTATCACTGAAAGTCACATTGTTTCCTGAAATATGGTCTAATGGAATGATATCATCAAGCTTTAACTTAAAGTGAATGGAAGGGCAAAACCTTATTTTTAGTTTGGAATAGAGTAGGGAAGGCGCAGGCCCTCTGCCAGATTTTTATTGCAGTCTGTGTCACTCCTATTTGTCCTGGTGACTGCCGTCACAAAAACAGAAAAAAAGAGCAAGTTCCTAATTTTAGAGTTGTCATAAGTGGTTAGGGAAAATCTTTCAATGGAGATGATGTCTGTCTAAGATGGGAATTGCCTTCACTTTTGGGAGATGCCCTCTTATTTCCTGTTGTATCTCCAAGACAGAAAATGAAGAAAAATCTCCCAAGCAGGAATGTATAAATGCCCTGAGGGTTTTTTTAAACCTATTTCCACTCTATCCAAAACTAAGAAAAAAGTTTTGTCTTTACATAAACTTGTTTTTTCTTCAGCATGTGCTGTGTTCTCCTAAATGACCTAAAGTTTATAATGTTCTGAACAATGGTTTACTGGATTGGGTTTCTGTGAAAGCAGCAATGCCAAAACAGCAGTAGTACAATGGCTTTTCTTCTGCTTATCCCCTGAGGTTTTATAAAAGTTCCTTGTTTTCTTAGGGGAACTAATAACATTCTACACAAAGAGGATTTTTACATTAACAAGCGCTATTTTTGTATACTGTGGTAAAAAACAACCACTGAATTTAATGTCTTAAAAGGCAATAGAATTTAGTGTCATAAAAATGTGAAGTAAATATTGTCCGGAGTTTCACACACAGGGTTATACACAAAAGGGTGAAGAGTTTGGAGAAGACAGGAGAAGGGAACAATCTAGGACAACATAGCTGAACTGGAAAGTGAGCTGAATTGGAGAGTTTTTCCAGTTCAGCTATGTTGTCCTAGATTGTTCACTTCTCCTGTCTTCTCCAAACGCTTCACCCTTTTGTGAATAACCCTGACAGTGTTTATATTTTACAGATACTGTATATTAGTTGAAGGGTTAAGGTTAAGTTTTGGGGGTGAGAACTAGTGTTAGGGGTAGGTTATGTGTTTAGGGTTTACTATAGGGGCTGGATTTTGGGGTCATGGTGAGGTTAGAAGTTAAGTTAAAGCAATAAGAATAAATGCTTTTATTCTCTCTGCTCTAAAGCAAACTTCTTAATATGCCCTTAATGGCTTAACGGGGTTCTAAACCCTCCCGTTTTTTTGTCCTATATCTACTGCTATCAAGCAGTAGATATAGACAAACAGTTTTTTTTTTAAAAACTGCTTTCACAGCGGTTTAAACTTACCTTATTTTCGCTGAACGCTCGAGGAAACAAAACTGTTCGGGCAGCTGCAAAGCATCTTGGGGCTGGCGAATGCGCAGTTTGGATTCTCGGCTGGGAGAAGGGCAGAGACGCAAGGTAAGTCTATGGACGTGTGCACCCGCATGCAGACACCGTGGGATCAGAAGTGCCAGCAAGCAGAGAGGAGTCAGCGCTGGATCGGAGAGCCGCTGGAGGGACAGATGAAAACATCAGTAAAGAAGAAGAAGATCTAATTAAGAGACATCATTTAAAGGTAAGTGCTGACATTAACATTGGGGGGAGGGAAAAAAATTATCCTTTAATGCCACTTTAAGGCTTAAATGCTGAAGGAAAACGTAGGTGTTTTTTGAAAACGCTTCACGGGATAAACATTTGGGGAGCTGTAGTTTTGCAGTAAGGAGCATTTGTTCAGCTCTTTTAGCAGCATTGATTTATTGCCCTGGGAACGTCCACTTGAGCACACCAGATGGATATTAAACCTGTATGCAGGGCCGTATTTCCCACAAGGCCAACCGAGGCTCGGCCTTGGGGTGTGGAATTCCTATCTCCCGATGCCTGGGACATGCAGTTCCAGGAGCTGGGCGGGTAGTTGTTTTCTACATTTAGCCCTGCTTTGGGCAAGCAGGGCTACATTTACAGCGAGAAGCCGCCGCTTGTTTTGTACAAGTCATCCCGGCAATGTCGCCGAGATCACTTGTATGCAGCCTGCATACAGGGGGGGTGCAATAAGGAACCTGGCATTGGGGCAGCAGAGAGAGTTAATCCGGCCCTGCCTGTATGCCTAACACAGTCAAAAATTCCAGTGCGTCTCCTCAGCTATAGGCTGATAAGACAGCTAAGGTTTGTATTTCTGCAAAAAACTTTATTCAATTCATTTAGGGATATAGAGTAATTGTGTGCAGGAGCATTAACAATGTTATCATATAAACTATTGTTGTGGCTGTTATTATTTATTGATAATATTGTTATTAGTACTACATTTTGTTACTGACTACTAGACCACCTCTTTCAGCACTTACTTACTATGGTATTGGGAGGGCTTAAGCTGGCCATACACCTTTAGATTATCTGCAGATTTTCTATGGTCAGAAAAAGTGTAACAGATTCCTCTATCTACACTTAACTGTGTGGATGGAGGAATCTCCCGCTGGGCCAAGGTTCAGTATCTTGCTAGTCAGCCCTGTTGTCTGTCAAAATACCTGAACAATCTGAGTGGATGCAGGCATTGTTCAGGTGTTTTGAGAGCCAGCGGGGCGGTCCAGCAAGATACTGAAGCCTGGCTGAGTGGGAGATTCCTCCATGCACACAGTTTGGCGTAGATGAAGGAATCTGTTGCACTTTTTCCATCTGACCATAGAAAATCTGCAGATAATCTAAAGGTGTATGGCCAGCTTTAGACTCTACTCTAAGACAGTTCTCCTGCTGCCTGAACGTGATGAAATTGTACTTTGATGTAAAAATCAAGACAATATTGCCAAAAGAAGTTTAAAAATGTATCTGGTCCATAGGGGGGTGTACAGGTGTGAGAGCTGAAGTGAATAAATGATGAAACATGTGATATCTATTTTAGATGCTATTTGTTTTGTTGGTAAAACCCTAAACAGTTGCAATACATTTACAATATGGAACTGATTCAACTATTGAACTCATGACAAGTTCCCCTGAGGTATATGTACCTCCAATTGAAAACCAGAACTCTAGCTCACAGGATACATAGTGGATGCATTGGTTGTAATGGTGGTAGTTCCTTCTTCCATAAAACTGATTGATTTATGCACAGTGATCTATTGGTGGCGTCAGAAAGAAATATTACATTCTAACAAAACACAACCAGTAATCTGACCCAAGAATGCACTGCCACACTCACTGGGACCTCTTACTGTACCAGCTGTCATAAAGGTCATGCATCTTCAGTTCCCAGTGCTCATGGGCAACTAAGGGAATATAGTTATGTCACTCCCCTCATCCCATCAGGGAATGGCTAGTATTTATTGATAAAAATACTAGATGTTTGCTGAATGGCCACTGTGCCATTTTCACAGCAAAGGGAAATTCGCTATATATTAGTTTCACCTTTTAAGTTGCATTAGTGAAATAAATGAACTTTTGCACGATATTCTAATTTTTCGAGTTTCACCTGTATATACTTATATTGGGCCAAGCTGTACCAATGTAAGTATACATCAATATTTAAACCTGCAGTTCAGCTTTAAAGAATGAACTAAGTACTGTTTACTTATGAAACACTCACATAATGTAACAGCATCATATGTTTACACGAACAGAGCTCTTTTGTAAACAAAACAATGCAAAAGAATCTGAAAGTGTTAAATGGCTGTTTATATAAAATTTCAATCAATAGTATCAGACAGGATTCCTTTCCAAATGGTATATAAATACATTTTTATTTTGAGTATAAAAGTTCCCATCTGGTCGTTTAACTTTCACATCTCATGCACTGACACGTAGCAACAAGCACTTCAGTCTGAATTTTGTAGCAGGTTATGTCATGCTATTTTCTCATTTTGCAGTATATGCTTCTCTATTTATTTCCAGGGCAGCAAACTTCAAGAACTTCACGTTTATTCAACTGAATGAGGAATTCTCCCGTGGCAAAGGATTAGATGTAGGAGCTCGCGCTTGGAAAGGAAACAATGTCCTTCTGTTTTTTTGTGATGTGGATATCTACTTCAATGCAGAGTTCCTGAACACATGCAGAATAAACACTCAGCCAGGTATGATCTTTCCGGCTGTGATAGAAGTATCTAGTATGACCATATGACTATTTATCCTCAGCATAATGGTTTATAATTTTTGCAATAACATTTTGCTTTGAGCACAATTGGTATACATGCAGTCCTGCTCTCAAGAGAAAAGAGGCATTATATTTTTTATCTGTGTCTCCTGAATGATGAGTAAAGCTAAGTGGCACTTAGGTCTGAGAACAATACTTAGAAAAAAGTAATTTCAATTAATTCAGACCAGGAATATTGAAGAATTTTTCAATACGTTGAGGAACTTTATATATTTTTTTTTTATATATATATTACACAGTATATATGTGTGTGTGTGGTTTTTTTTTTGTCATGTTTGATGAGAATAGATCTATGTTTATCTGAAGCTTGTTCAAAATGACTTACTATCAATTGACTCATGCCAGCTTTCACTAGGGAGAGCCAAGTCTGACAGCCAGGGGTGGTTGGCTGCAATTCAATCTCCCTAATGTATCTGTGCAGCAGCATCACTCCTAGGGAGATAAATAAAAAGGAAGTGTCCTATGTACCTCATTCTACAGGGGACTTGTTCTCCTGCTCTGCTAGGATCATCCCAGCGCACACACCAGACTCAGAGTCCCCAACCTCAGGTCTTTATCTCTCCTTCTCAATCCTGCTTGCTCCTCTCTGAGCTGTACATTATGCAGCTGTATTAAACATTCTGTTGTGATGTGTATCAATAAAGAGCTTGACATTGTGACTGATGGGGGGCAGTTGGTATGATCTGACACTCTACAGAGAAAGCTAATAAATTTAGAGCTAGATCTCTGCAAAAAGAAGTCTATCAATGAAGAGGCTAACATAGTAGAGCAGGGGTTGCAGCAGTTGGTAGGATTCAACACTTGCTAGAAATGTCACATTTCTATTCATTTTAATTCACTGAAAGAGCAAAGAAAATATGATTAAGTACACATTTTCTGTTGTCACAGTATTGAATAAAGGATAATAATAATATAGATTATAGATTATAAGAAGTCAAACCGACTGACAAGTTCTCTTTAAAGTGTATGTAAAGCCATTTTTTATGGAAGAGTTAAGCCCCTTTTTTTTACTGTCTGTGACCCGCTAGGGATCTATCCCTTCACTTCCTGTCCTGGAAATACAACAGGAAGTGAGACGAAATCCCTCCAATGTGAACAGAAATCCCATCTTAGCGAGTTGTCATAGGAATCCCAATTGGAGAATTTTCCCTCACTGCTCTGGTGACAGCTCTAAAATTTTGGATTTCCCATCACTTTCCGTATTTGTGACAGTGACAGTTGTCGCCAGGACAAATAGAAGGGTAAATGTGCCCATCGGGGATGCAGACCGCAATAAAAACCTGAGAGGAGGAGGTCTTGCCCTTCCTCCTCTATTCTAAACAAAAAAATGCCTTTACATACATTTGAAACAGTACAGTAAAATATATCAAAATATATGCGGGCAACAGTAGCAGGCAACATAAGATAGAGTCCTATTTATTTTTTTATGCAGCAATTGGCACTGCAGTTATAACTGAAATTTATAACTTAAGACACTATGGAAGTCTGTGTCTCCCTGGGCCACTTTTATTATTTTACTGCCTGAAACCAAATATCTTCCTGGCTAGACAGTTTTGTGTATCTCATATACCATACAAAAAGTTTATTGCTCAGTATATGAAACAGTAATTTCTTATGGATTTATTAATTTAAACTAACAAGACAAAGAAAAATTATAAGACCATTTATAACTAGAGACTATGGACGTCTGCATTCCCCTGGGCCACCTTTTCTTTTTCCCTTTATGAGCTCATATCTTTTTTGCCAGACAGTTTTGTGAAGCTAATGTACTGTAAAATAAGTATATTGCTTATATAATGAAATGGTTTTAATGGATTTATTAATGTAAACTAACATGACAAATTACAATTATACGATTAGAAAACAAGGAGCAGTTTCCCTGCTTCGTTGAATTTTGCCACAGTCAGCCATGACCTATGTGTCCCTTAGACAAATTAAGCCTGGCTAGCTGATTTTTGCAGTTCTTCTTACTTTTATTTAGCTAGAACCCTGTTTGTAAATGCTTAACTGAAACATATGCTTATGACAACTGCATTTTTTCTGTTCTCTGTAGGAAAAAGAGTTTTCTATCCGGTCCTTTTCAGTCAGTACAACCCAGCGATAATTTATGGGCATCATGATGCAATTCCCTCCATTGACCAGCAGCTGGTAAGTGATTTGTGGACACCCTCGGGTCCTTAGTGTAGTCTGTATGGCCTCTTTTCTTGCACTTGGTGTGTCTTATATGCAAGCCTTGGCCAAGTCAAACAAGGAGGTGTATGCAATTTATGTGCTGAGCACTGATATTTATGAAAGTCATAACATCTTTTCCAGAAGGTAGTAGAGTGTGACTTTAGTTTAGACTGTGGTCCAGAAGCAACATCATCCACCGTCTGCAATGACTGATATCCTGTGTAATGGCCCACATTATTTTTAGCTAGAACATCAAGGCTATTTTATTGCAGCAGACGTAGCAGTGCATAATCCTGTTTGGGCTTCACCAGTGATCCAAATACATAAACAAAGAGAGGTTTCTTAGTGCTCTACCTACAAACACTACATGGATAGCCATATCGCTCATAAATCAACTACAGGACAAGAAAGAGTAAATCCGGTTTAAGCCTAAGACAGTAGCACTGGGAAAGTGTAACATTATCTCTATTCATGTTCTGTGTTACCAACATACAAATTATGTTGCATACAAATTACATAGTGATAGAACTGGGAAGTCTTTTTATCTAGGTAAATCAGTGCCCCATTTGCCATTTACCGGGCTGAAATAAGAAGTTGTATCTATTCATGAAAGAAAAAAAGAAAAAAAAAGCCAGTATAGCTTGAGAGAGATATCTCTCTCGATCTATACGAGCTGTCAGAATGCCGGCAAAAGCCGGCATCTGTGTCCGCTTTGCTTTGACTCTCAGACACCCGATATTAAGGTATCGAGTGTCTGAAAAAGGTTAACCCTTTCATTAATGAATGCCTCTGTAGTAAGGGCATCCATTAATGAATGTTAAAAGCTGATTCTCAGCGGTTAACAGCCCTCTAAAGCAGCAAGTAACTCGTCACGTACAGTGTACGTGACAAGTCATTTGGTCCCTTTGTGGCTGGACGTACAGTGTACGTCTCCCGTCACGAAGGGGTTAAGGAAGAAAGGGTACATCTGTTTAGCATTTGAAAAGGTTAGGGTTTTGAGGAATTTTGCGATAAATTAATTAAATACAGTAACAGTAGCAATTTCTAAAGTACTTGTAAGACATCACTATGTGGACCGATTTTAAACAGCATTAAAAACCAGGGTTTAAGGTTCATGTCTTTTTTACCGTTTTGGAAAGCTTTATTAATTCTTTGAGCATACCTAGATACAGTTACTGCATTGTTTTTCTATGACCAAATGATATTGTAAAAGGCTCTTGTGTCATAATATAATAATAGATAACTGTAAGTAATTAGATTGTAATATGTATAGTGTGATGCAAGTGGTAGAATGTTTCTATTTACAAGGTAACTTTGAACAGGACAGTGAAACTGGCTGAAGATCTTTGTCACTTTTTAGAGCTTTGTAAAGGAGACCTAAATGTTATGGATTTTATGTAACTTTATTTTTTTCGGTTCTTGCCCTTTGATAATTTTGTAATTGGATAAAATTAAAGTGGGAGTTTTATTCCCTGCCTGTTCTTTGCTGCTCTCTCTGACACCGGCATAAAGATCTCTCCCACCTCATTCCTGCTTTGGCATTGCTGCTCTGCTGTGAGTAGAATTTCAGAGCTCTCTTTCCTACAGTCTATTCACCCTATATGTCTCTTGATAATCCAGTGGAGGCTACCTCTGCTCTGTTTTTATTATGGGCTGACTAATGTGCAAAAATTATCTTTTTTTGTACACCTATTTCTATTTTTTTTTTAAATAACATTTTTTCATTTGAAAGTGAAACTTTATATCGCAGTCAAACTATTAAAAGAGTGACACTGCAGATGAGCACTGCAGCCTAAAAGTGTCAAGTGTCTGCAGGATGAAGGCTTTCATTTTTGTCAATGGAGCCTTCAGCCTGCATGTAATCAAAATGTCACAGCTGCCATGATCGGCAGGGTTGTCAACCATCTGTTGATTCATGGAAAGTTTGTCTAATTAGGTAACCCTTTGCCTTACCCACCATTGCACTCTAGACAGGGAGAAAGCTCCAAGTCAGGTTCAGGGGCCTGAGGCAGGAGAAACAGCAGTTGACTCCAGTGAGAACTCCTGCCCAGCATCTCATTCATACTGGATCCCAATCTGCTGCTGTATCCCTTAGCAATGGCAGAGCAAAGCAGAGACCCCTAGCAACCTGGCCTGGCAAAGTTTAAAAACAAGAACTTGAGTACAGTAGAGTCAGGATGCACCTGTTCTGCAGGGGGAAGATGGAGGAAACTGTCCACTTTGCAGTAAGTTAAAATTACATCTGAATTGACTTCTACCCTAAATCAGTTACGTGTAAAAAAAAAAGTGATTTTTTTTTTTTTACTGTTCACAGACTGAAGAGAGAGATCTGTAATGCAAGTCTGCCTGTCATTAATATTTCAGTACTCTCTTGGCATCTGTCTGCAGCATTGGCACTATAGGGGGAGGTTGAGGGGCACCATAGCTACATTGTTCACACTTTGGTGACCTCAGGCAATTCCTTGCAACACATCTGTCGCATCTAATGCTCTTGTCCTTTAAGGGCCATGACACACTGGCGACCATGTGGTTAGTTACAACGCTACAGAATGTCAAACTGCAGAGACAGCTCACTCATTCAGCCAGTTAGGGAACAGTTCATAGAAGTCCACAGGTATTCACCTGTATTTCACTGCTCTACATAGCGATCCTGTTTCTGCTGAGTTGTTGCTAGTGACAGGATCGTTACTGTAACATGGCCCTAATTGTCTTTTGTATTGTATCAGAGGTTTTTGGAAACTTGCACTGTAAAAGAGAAGCATGCCTCAGCTGGCACTGCACTGTTTCGCCATGTCTGTTATACTTTACCCTTACCGATTAGGCTATTCCTACTTATCCGCATTCGGTTTTAGTAACAGCCAGTGCTCGAGTTTTTATGTAAAGTACAGCTATTCTGAATTTAACCGTTGTATTAGTGATTTATCCCTTAAGCAGACACAATCACCGCAGGCAGTCTTTATCAGATAACTGAACTCACCAAATACCTTTTCATTCACGGGGATCATCTTTTTAAAGCAGCAGGGTTACAGCAGACAACAGGATGTAGCAGATGATTAGAAAGACAGTATTTGCAAGTCAAAAGACGGTATTGCTTTCCCCCATGCGAGCATACAACATGTGGCCGTGAGACAAACAGCCATTATACCAAAAAGACTACTTGGACAAGAAAGGAAGTACATCACACACAAGGGGAGGGAATACAGAAAAAGATGGTGCAATAACCAAAATGACCACAAGATGGCAGTATAGGAACCAACTATACTAATGCCAACAAACAATGGCTTAAAGGAGAACTATGAGGTGAGTGTTTTTCACTCATCCTCATAGTTCAAGCCGACCTGTGACAATGAGACTGTCACAGGTCGGCTCAGTAGATCGGGAAGTGAGCGAACACATACCGGCGTTCGCTCACTTCTCGATCCTTCTCACTTCTCGATCCTTGGACTATTGCTTTATTATACTTTGGAGTGCTGGTGACGTTATTTCTCTTTCTGATTCTATCACGGTGCCATCCGTGGTCACTACAAGTACCAACCCGGCCGTACGGGTCTTTTCTGTTCGGTAAGGAGTGCAGCAAGATCTCTTGATTTCTCACTTCTCGATCCTGTCGCGGCTCTCTGCCGTGACAGGGGAGGCACTGGATTCCCCCCTCCCCGCTCCAATCCTCCAGCGCTGACTGGCGGACGGGGGAGGGGGCGGTTACAGCTGGCTCTGCCTCTAGATAGGCAGAGCCAGCTGTCACTCACGCAGCTGGGCGGATCCAGACATAATTGTAGCTGTAGCTCACAGTATACTGAGCTTAGGGTGACGGGAGGACGCTAGTTTGTGTCCTCCAGTTACCCTAAGGAGAACTATGGGGAAAAGCCCTAACCCCATAGTTCTCCTTTAAGGAAAATTAACTATGTAAATTGTAATATGAATAGTAACCATGACTATGCATTGTATTATATTCTCATACAATAGATGTAACAGCACAAATGCAGTTTACTTGTTGAGGGTATTTTTAGCTACCACAGTTTATAGTGTGTAAACATTGATTGGTTTAGTTTGTAATATGTGTTATTTTATATTTAACATTGTCTGTACATTTTCCAAGTAAAAAAATCATGGATAGTTGGCAACCCTGGTGATCAAGAACCACTCTAATTGGTGGGGGAGCCCAGTTGTCACAGTATGGATTGAGAACCAGCAGCCATGTACAGTGTCGGCTGCTGACTCTCAAAGGGGAAAATGAATATATAAACCTATCCTTGGCAAGAGCCAAGCGTTAAAGTAACACTAAACTCAGGAGTTAAATCTTAAAAATGCATTCTAGTACCCTAGCTATTAATAAAAATGTGTCTTATTTGCGTATCACTCAGCTGTAGATCCTTTAGGCTGGGTTCACACCTAGGCGTATCCAATATGCACGTTTGTCGCGCGTTTCGTGCCGCAAGTTTTTACCGCGATTCCCTGTAATAAAAACGCGTGACAAGTGCGCGTCTCCGAGGGTTGCCTGGCTGTGTCCCAATGGATATGCACGGCAAATACGCCCCAAAGAAGCTCCTGTCATTCTTCGGGTGCAGGGCGTTTTGCAGCGCATTCCTGCACGCTGTAAAACGCCCAGGTGGGAACCATGCCCATAGGCAATCATTGGTTTTCACATGTTGAGCATTTTACAGAGCGTAGGAACACGCTGTAAAACGTCCAGGTGTGAACCAGGCCTAAATCATCCCTAAATTGGTGCTGACACTGTCCTTCCTTCTGGAGGGTGGCTACTTTTGTTCCCCACAGTCCCTGTGTGTGTTGTGAAGTAGTTACCACTCCAAGCTCGCTCCTGTGATTAACTACAATCTCAATACAAATAAGTAAGCTAAACATGAGATTGTAGTCAATCACAGGAGTGAACCTGGAGCAGTGGCTACTTACAACACAGACAGGGACCATGGGGAGCAAAAGTAGCCACCCTCCAGAAGGAAAGACAGTGTCTATATGAA